TTTTTTTATTTAAAATATTTTTACCCTGCATTTCTTCATAAAAGGACCCAGTTTTTTAAAACGATCATTGACAAAAGATGACTAAAAACAGGAAATTATTCACATATTAAAAAAACATTGTATTAAAAATGCTAAATAAAAGCATAATTAAAATAGATTAAAAGCAACCAAAATACTAATCATCCCGAATATCTAATCTAAAGGTTTCAGGGTGAAACATTGTCAGTTAAAAATATTAAAACAATTGAAAAATAATTAACAAGAGTGTACATAAAAGTGCTATTTTACTTTGGCTTGGATTGTCTATAAAATTGCCAATATCCCACTCTGTATCTAAAGGTTTCAGGGTGAAACATTGTCAGTTAAAAATATTAAAACAATTGAAAAATAATTAACAAGAGTGTACATAAAAGTGCTATTTTACTTTGGCTTGGATTGTCTAATTTTTAAAATTGCCCATACCCTGGCTTGAGACCTTTGGGTATGGAATGGGACATAAATACCTGAATTTTAAAAATGTGAGACCCAAAACTGGAGTTTACTTGTTCGCCAATCATTGACTGAAGATTGAAAAACAAGGAGCCGTGCTTCAATCAAGTGGTGCTTGCACCTGTTCTTGTTGGAAGCTAAGCAGGATTCTGCCTGGTTAGTTTTTGGAGGGGAAAACCAACGAGAAGCAACGAGTTCTCCAGATTAAGGCTGTGATGAAGCCTCTCCTTGAAACGTTACAATCCTGTCAGTGCTGAAAATGCTGAGTCGGGCTGCGACTGTGCCGACAGCTTGATTCAGAACCTGTTTGACACTTCTGTTTGGATCAGGTAATCACACCAAAAGTAATTTTGAAAGACATCAACCCAGAGTGCTCACTGCAAGGACAGATCCTGAAGCTGAGGCTCCAATACTTTGGCCATCTGATGAGAAGAGAAGATTCCCTAGAAAAGCCCCTGATGTTGGGAAAGTGTGAAGGCAAGAGGAAAAGGGGACAACAGAGGACGAGATGGCTGGACAGTGTCATCGAAACGACCAACATGAATTTGACACAACTCCGGGAGGCAGTGGAAGACAGGAGGGCCTGGCCTGCTCTGGTCTATGGGGGGTCACGAAGAGTCGGACACGACTTAACAACTAAACAACAACAATCACATCAAGACTGCTGAAGGTTCAGTGCCAGTGTCCACACTGGGCCCTCAATCAGATGCAGCACGATCTATTATGCCAGGACTCTTCTTCCTTCAATCCCACCATTTCTCCAATCACCGGTTCTCCTTTTCTGGTTCATTGTAAAGCCAGTGGGCTGTTTAAAGTGTTGTACCGTGTTAAGAAAAAAGTTCTCCATAACGTACAAACACACACATCTCACATAAAATATACTCGCCTGTTGTAGCTCTTTGGAGCTGTTTCTACTTCATATTGATTTTTATCATCTTTTTTTTAATCTGTGCAGAGGTGTTCTGGCGTAACCCTTGTGGTGTAATGGACAGCATCATGGACTAGGACTCGGGAGACCTGGGTTTAAATTTCTGTTCATCCACGGAAACTCACTGGGGGAGTGGAACTAGTAAAACCGCTCCTTAAATATCTCAGTTACCATGAAAGCTCTGTTAGGGTATCTCTATGGTGGCTCTGACCTGACAGCACGTAACAGAGGTGAACCCGTGCTTGACTAATATAGCAATGCAATTGTAAGTTGATCCAGCACTGAACTTGGTACAGTGGTGCCTCGCTAGACAGTTACCCCGCATGACAGTTTTTTTGCTAGACATTGACTTTTTGCGATCGCTATAGCGATTCGCAAAACAGTGATTCCTATGGGGGAATTTCACTGGACAATGTTTGGTCCCTGCTTCACAAACCAATTTTCACTAGACGACGATTTTGACAGCTCCCTCTGCGCTCGCAAAACAGGTGTTTCCGGGACCTAAGTTTCACAAGACAGCGATTTAAACAGCTGATCGGCGGTTCGCAAAGTGGCTTTCCTATGGCTGATCTTCACTAGACAACAATGATTCTTTCCCATTGGAACGCGTTAAGCAGGTTTCAATGCATTCCAATGGGGAAATGTTATTCGCTAGACAATGATTTTGCTAAACAGTGATTTCAGTGGAACGGATTATCATCGTCTAGCGAGGCACCACTGTAGTATGCTTCTTAAAAATAAAATAAATACTTTAGGCCACTCAGGAGAAAGATTGGGGGGGGGGCATTCCCACTGTTGAAGACTTCATGCCCAGTTTAGTAGATCATAAGAATGCCATCCACAGTCACACACACCCCCATCCTTTTGGGTAATGAAATAACTGGTCCCATGGGGAAATCTCTGTTCAGATCGCGCTGGCTTGATAAAAGTAAAAGCTGCCAGCAGCAGATTGCGGGGGGTGGGGGGCTCTGCTTTGGGAACAAAACGGGCCAGGCTGATTCACATTGACTTTTGCATCATACGATCAATTCATGTGTGTATATATATACATATATTTAATGCCTCCATTTTACATCCACAGCAAATCTCATACTATTTACCAGTGTAGCCACAGTATTAGATAGACACATGATCTGACCCAGTACAGAGGCAGTTTGAACTCTGAAAGCTTTTGGTGGAAAGTCATGTGACTGCTGTGATGTTTTAAAAGCATTTATGTCCTTCAATGCCGCAGAACTTCTTTTTCAACTTTAATGTCGTAAAAGGGCCAGACAGTGCATTGATGGTAACATGTCTTGACCAATGTATCTGATATGTGATTTTATCTCTAAATAATGTATTTTTGTCTTCCTGGTCATTTGACCATAATAAATGATGATGATGATGGAAAATCAGACGTTAATTTGGTGGCAAAATGAAGCCAGTGTTGGCACCTGTTGGAGCTCTGGAAGAAGGGCATTCTGCAGCCAGGGTTCCAAATCAAGACCAGAAGTATATGGACAAGCAAGTGCAGTTCCTCTGGGTTTGATCCCCTGATCAGCTATGGGGAACTGATTGGGGGAATGGAACGGGTAAAATGATTCCTTAAATATCTCACATTGAATGCCCTGTTAGGATCACTAAAGGTTGGTTGATGAGTACAGAACAGAGAACATAACATGTGAACTGGCCGCGAGTGAGAGTCTCTGTCTTGGGGCGGGGGGGGATAAGGACAAAGGAGCCTTTGGGACAGTATTGTAGTATGCAGTCTATGGAAACAGCTTTGAATATAAGAGACTAGTTTATGGGGAAGCATGAGTTAAAACTGGAAGAACATGTTAGCCGGGGGAGGAAAGACCGTCCAGTGGTATGCCCTGCCTCTAACAGAGTTGGGATCAGAAATTTAGTTAAGCCACCAGGAACAGCCATGTTAAGCCAGATTAAAGCCAAATAAATAGTTTCACCTGGTGGATACTTTCTTTAGCATGCAGTACTACTTGCATTTTTTAAAATGTGAGCTTTTGTGGACAAGTTCACTTCATCACATTAGAAACTATAAACACACCACATTTTTGTCCTTTTTTACTTTTTCTTTTTATTTTGTTTTCACCTATAATGCTTGCACAGACTAACAGACTAACTACCCATTCCACAACAACAAAATGTGGAGAACTCCAGCAGTGAAATGAGTTCCTTTATCAGAGTCTAAATATAAGGGAAGCTCAAGTCAAGGAATAATTTCTGTTAATAACTTTTTTGCAACGGTGACAGTCTCAGCCTTTCTACATAGATAACGTTCAGTCCATCCCTTAAAAAAGACATACTACAGTAAGGCAATAACCATTAAGTCATGGAGAAAGGTATTTCAATGAAATTTATTTGCAAGGACAAAAAAGGTCCTTCAGACCAGCCGGTCACATTTAAAACTGAACTGTTGACAAGTGACTCGAATTTCTTTGCAGCATACCCTCCTTTCAAAATTTGTTCTGCTATCCCCATTCCCCATTTGCTTATGTGGCTCACAGCATGAATCACCTGGACAAGATGTTGGGCCAACTGGGAACCACTAGCATCTCGCCCAGGTTTACCACAACTCCCAACTTCAGACAGAAAACAACCTGCTGCCTCAGTTCAAGTACTTGCGTTAAGCAACAAAATTGAGTTTGGACTACTCCATTTCTCCAACAGTTTTTTCTTGTACAAGTGATGGTTATTTTCAGAGTTTACACACTTGTAGAGCCCACCTGCCCAGTGTGGATTTTCTTATGTCGGTAGAAAACTGAACTGTCCCTGAAACATTTTCCACAATCAGAGCACTCGTAGGGCTTCTCTCCAGTGTGTATTCGCTGATGAGTGACAAGGTTTTGCCTCCTGAGGAATCTTTTCCCACAACTGGAGCACTCATAAGGCTTCTCTCCTGAATGTATTTTCTGATGAGAGACAAGTTGTTGCTTCCTGATGAATCCTTTCCCACAATCAGAACACTTGTAGGGCTTCTCTCCAGTGTGTATTTTCCGATGGGTGACAAGCTTCCCCTTCTCGATGAATCTTTTCCCACAATCAGAGCATTCAAAGGGCTTCTCTCCAGTGTGTGTTCTCTGATGAGTGACAAGTTCCCGCCTCCGGATGAACCCCTTCCCACAAACAGAGCACTGGAATGGCTTCTCTCCTGTGTGGGCTCTTTTATGCATTGTGAACGAGGATCTGTCCCGGAAACTTTTCCCACACTCGCTGCACTGGTATGGTCTTTCTCCTGTATGGATTCGCTCATGGTCAATGAGGTCCGGACGCTGATTGAAGTGCTTTCCACACACAGGACACCCATGTGGTTTTTCACTCGTGTGGATTCTCCTCTGATGGGTTGAAAGGTTTCTCTGCTGGCTGAATGTCTTCCCACATTCTGGGCACCGATAAGGTTTCTCTCCTGTGTGGATTCTTTGGTGAGCAAGGAGGACGGAGCGGTACATGAAAGGCTTCCCACACTCAGAGCAGCTGTGTGATTTTCCTCTTGAGCATATCTGTTTTGGCAGGGCAGAAGTTACTGATGGCTGACACCCATCCAATTTTTCATTGGTGTGGACCGTCATCTGATGGGTCAAAAGATTTCCTTGCTGGCTGAATGTTTTCCCACAATCTGAGCACCGGTAGGGTTTCTCTCTGGTATGGATTCTCTGGTGAGCGAGCAGGACGGAACGGTATCTGAACCACTTCCCACAATCAGAGCACTCATAGGGCTTCTTCCTAACATGTACTCTCTGATGAGCGACGAGTTCTCGCCTCCTGAGGAAGGCCTTCCCACAATCGGAGCACTCAAAGGGCATCTCTCCAGAGTGTATTCTCTGATGGGTGACAAGTTTTTGCCTCCTGAGGAATCCCTTCCCACAGTCAGAGCACTTGAAGGGCTTCTCTCCTGTGTGAGTTTTTTTATGCATTGTGAACGAGGACCTGTCCCGGAAACATTTCCCACATTCACTGCACTTGTACGGCCTTTCTCCTGTATGAATCCGCACATGCCCCATAAGGTCCGGGCGCTGGCTGAAGCGCTTCCCACACACAGGACACTGATATGGTTTCTCGTTGGTGTGGATCCTTCTCTGATGAGTCAAGAGGTTTCCTTGCTGGCTGAAGGTTTTCCCACAGTCTGAGCATTCAAAGGGCTTCTCTCCAGTGTGTATCCTCTGATGAGTGATGAGCTCTCTCCTCCTGAGGAAGGCCTTCCCACAATCAGAGCACTTGAACGGTGTCTCTCCCATGTGGATTCTTTTATGCATTGTAAACGAGGAATTGTTCCGGAAACTTTTCCCACATTCCCCACAGCTGTACGGCCTTTCTCCGGTATGGATCCGTTCGTGGTCCATGAGGTCTGGAGGGAGACTGAAGCGCTTCCCGCACACAGGACATCCATATGGTTTTTCAACGGTGTGGATCCTCCTCTGATGGGTTAAAAGGTTCCCTTGCTGGCTGAATGTTTTGCCACAGTCTGAGCACTGGTAGGGTTTCTCTCCCGTATGGATTCTTAAGTGAGCAAAAAGGACGGAGCGGTATTTGAAGCTTTTCCCACACTCAGAACAGCCATGCAGTTTCCCTCTTGAGTGTATCCTTTTTTGCAGAAGAGAAAGTATGGATTCCTGATCAAATGTTTCCCCTAACACTGACCGTTTATCCAGATTTCCTCCAGATGTTCCCTCATGATCAGGTGGCTTTGCAACGATTGTTCCACATTCATTTCCACCGTGCTCGCCCTCACCCACTGGGCTGGTTTGTAAGACTTTTCTTTCAACTTCCTCCTTGCACGCTCTCAAAGAGTACAACCATGTCGCTTTCCTCTTCTCTAGGTCATTAAATTGATGGCTCAGAGAAACTGGTTCGTCACCACTTTGTGCCTCTCTAAACAACTGCCTAGATGGTTCCCCCTCTGCAGAATTTTCTAGCTGGTGCTGCTCTTCCATGCATGCCTTTCCATCTCGTGCTGGAAGACAAAAGGGAGACGGTCACATCCTGAGAGCAAGAAACACCTCTCCCAGGTTCTTCTAGCAGAATCATACTCTCTACAAGAGCTGCAGGAAGTTACTTCTGCGTAACTGCTCCAACAGCAGGGAGTATTTAACTATCACTCGGAGCATCCTGAACACACAAAAATCCGAACTATAGGAAAACTGTACTATTGCTTGGCATCTGGGTTTCTGAGATCTGTATTCCACAAAAGTTACTTTTCCAAATTCTGTTATCTAAAGCCAAAACACACAAAGAATCTGGAAAACAATGGCTTTCTTTTACTCTTGCAGAAAACCTAATTTTGAACAAGATGCCCCAACACTCAGGAAGAAATTTTGTTGTGTACCTTATGTCTGCCTAAGGCTGATGATGTCATCAGCCTTATTTATTTAGTTGATGGCATCAACCTAACTTCTCTTCTAAGGTTCCCATTGCTCCTATGGAATCTCTTTCATCTTTAGGAAGCCACAGGAGTTACGGGCTGGGAGACGATAGTGTTTAATTACAAATAAGTGACTGTCACTGATACGACTATCGGCAGCAGTGACGGTTGGTACTTATGACTTCCTGTCCCCCACCTCCTACAGCTTCCTAACAATGAAAGGGTTGAGATGGATGCTGTGGGAGCTTCAGGACAGAAGTAGGAAATGCTCAGTTTCTGAAAAAATTGATCCTTATGACATCATCCGTCTTTGTGAACAAGATGTCAGCCGTTAAATTCTGAGGTTCTTGGTACTAACTAGTGTTCCAGGTTACACAGTCTTCTGCGAATGTGTAATATGGATGGGTCAGTGGCTGAGGTCTCTGGCTGCGGATGCAGAGGTTGGGAGTTCGATTCCCTCACTCTGCCTCCTTGACAAGGGCTGGTCTCGATGAGCCATAGGATCCCTTCCGGATCTTCTGTTTTAAGACTGTTATTATTGTCGTACAGAACAAAACACGAAGGGCTTGTCTCCTCCAACAGAGAGGCCTTCCCCACGCTTTTACAGACCAACCTCAGAAACATCAAATGACGGAAACTGTACTTGGCCTTGCCAACTTCTGTTTCTAAGCTGGGAATGGGCATTGTGCGTTCAGTAGAGCACATGGTGCTCCCCAGTAATAAAGAGGTGCCTCCCTAGCATCCTGGCTCTCTACCACAATTGCATCCTGAAATATTACATTTTTTTTTGAAAAACAGAACCACTTTTTAGGTTCATGAATTCCCTGCCCAGTGCACTAGGGGTGGCCAAGGTTTTCCTGTTCTGAGGTCTTACCCAACACTCACGAAAACCCCATAACAACAATGCTTAACAAGAGGACACCAGAATTTTTAGGTGTTTTAAAAAGCAAATCTTAAATTTCGTAAGAAAAAGCGTGATCCTTATATACGGCCTCATATGGCCCTTGAAGCACTCTCTGGGCAGTTTATAATTTAAGGATGGAGCCCAGCTCCATGAGCTAAGTACTCAATTTACTGACCTCAGAAGGATGGAAGGGCAGACGGCATAAGAGTTTTCAGTTGTTAAGAAACAAAAAAATCACCATTTTGGTAAGAAAGATTTTAGAGGATGGGAGCGATGGGGGATTCATAGGGGTGGCCTGCCAAGGTCCAGGAGAATGGGTGTCACCCCCCCCAGACGTCTGGACATTGCCTGCCTTTGAGCTAAGGAAGATGGGGTCCTTACCAATCAACACATAGTGGCCGTCCTGCTTGATTTCTTTGAAAAGCAGCTCCTTCCCAGGCTCCGATCCAGCCTGCTCTGCTTCTGGGAACTGGGCCGATCTCTCATCAAATGTTCTGCACATCTAAAACCAAGCCAAGAGTGGTAGGAATTAAACCGAGTATCACCCGCTTTTGTTTCTGATCATGGGGCGTGCTCACTGGAAGGACAGATCCTGAAGCTGAGGCTCCAGTACTTTGGCCATCTCATGAGAAGAGAGGACTCCCTGGAAAAGACCTCCGTTACTGGAAGTTAGCAGTTATGTACGTGTCTTGCAGCTAGGGCATGATGCCTGCTACTAGCATACAGATATATACATTTATATACATTTATAATATTCATTTGCTACTGTCATAGATATATACATTTTAGAGGCATACAATTTTCCCACACAACCTCAGAAACATCAAATAACTGAAACTGCACTTGACCGTAACAACTCACATTCCTAGGCTGGGAATGAGCATCGTGCATTCAGTAGAGCACATGGTGCTCCCCAGTAGTAGAGAGGTGCCTCCCTAGCATCCTGCCTCTTTACCACATCCTGAAATATTACATGTTTTTGAAAAACAGAACCACTTTTTAGATTCCTGAATTCCCTGCCCGGAGCACTAGAGGTGTCCAAGGTTTTCCTGTTCTGAGGTCTTACCCAACCCTCACGAAAACCCCATCACAACAATGTTTAACAAGAGGACACCAGAATTTTTAGGTGTTTTAAAAAGCAAATCTTAAATTTCGTAAGAAAAAGCGTGATCCTTATATACGGCCTCATATGGCCCTTGAAGCACTCTCTGGGCAGTTTATAATTTAAGGATGGAGCCCAGCTCCATGAGCTAAGTACTCAATTTACTGACCTCAGAAGGATGGAAGGGCAGACGGCATAAGAGTTTTCAGTTGTTAAGAAACAAAAAAATCACCATTTTGGTAAGAAAGATTTTAGAGGATGGGAGCGATGGGGGATTCATAGGGGTGGCCTGCCAAGGTCCAGGAGAATGGGTGTCACCCCCCCCAGACGTCTGGACATTGCCTGCCTTTGAGCTAAGGAAGATGGGGTCCTTACCAATCAACACATAGTGGCCGTCCTGCTTGATTTCTTTGAAAAGCAGCTCCTGCCCAGGCTCCGATCCAGCCTGCTCTGCTTCGGGGAACTGGGCCGATCTCTCATCAAATGTTCTGCACATCTAAAACAAAGCCAAGAGTGGTAGGAATTAAACCGAGTATCACCCACTAGTTCCTTTCTCTCTCTTTGATGCCATCCCCTTCATACTTCAAGACATTTCTTGGTCCAGAAAAAAACACAACACAATGGTTTCCACAAGGGATTTTCTAATTCACCACTGCCACATTGACCATCATCCCCTGTTTGCCTTTCAGCAACGAAATCAGGCAAACTGGGGTAGAACAGGCGTATCCTAAGCTAGTCAACAAAACTGTCACACATAAAAATTCACTAGTTCCCAGTCTTTAATCCCCCTGATATTTTGGACATAATCTCCCGGATATCCTGGCCAGCATGGCCAATGGTGAAGGATTCTGGGAGTTGAAGCCCACAAGAATAGGAAAGCCCAAGGTTGAAAATCACTGATACAGTGACTAGCAGGCATGAGGCAGGTGCATTTGGGTGTTTGTTTTTCCAAACACCAAATTCCAGAATTCTCAGTTCTTGGAGTTTCAGTCTAACACATGGACACCTTGATTTTAGTCACCTGGAAGGAGGCTGGGCTGGAAGGTCTCATGGACCAGGACAGGCCAAGTTTGGGCCTAGTTTCCTGTTGGAAAAGGAAGCTGCCCATGGGGCCTCCTGGGAATTAGAGCTCCCCTCCCCCATAGGTAGGAAGGAAATGTACGAATAGCAAGGGTCCAGGGCAGGGGTGTGCAACTTCCAAGGACTTGAGGGCCTTTTGTGGTCTGCACTTAACGAGAACACTCCTGTTTTCCCACCGTTCTGCCTCTGGGAAAAAAATTACAGGAAATGGCAACAACGCTAGCTAAAACGATGTTCTCTCTTACGAGGCCCTTAATTGATTGATTGATTGATTGATTGATTGATTGATTTGATTTGTATCCCGCCCATCTGGTCTATGCGACCACTTAAGACATGACGGGGGGCATCCTATCGTCTGATGGGAAGGTGTGAAGAGCAACCAGTGAGAGCGGCTAAACCTAGAAGTGAGACGTCCCCTCACACCTCTAGGGCCAAAGGATGCAGCACCCTCTTTACTTCACTACCTTCTGTGGTTCAGAACCTGGTTCTAGAAGAAGGCAGGAAGGCAGAAAGAGAAGCAGGCGGGAAGACAGTGGTGGGAAAGGAGCAGCCGATGGTGGAGGGTGGAGGGTTTCTTAATGACAGAGAAGGAGAAAGGATGTTAGCGGGATAGGAGCTATATAAAGGGAGCAGAGTTGGGGTTCAGAGGGAAAAGTGAGAGAGCTCGGAAGTAGAAGAGAAAGAGCGAGGAGGGGCACCTGTCAAAGGGGGAAGAAGGGTCCTATATGTTCTCTTTTCCCCAAACGGGAGAGATGAAAACTGAGAGAGGAAAGGGAACCTCCCGGGGATGTGGAAGCGTGGGAATTGAGATACAGTTGGGTGAAGTAGAGCCATTGGAAGGGACCGTGTATGTTTCCCTGAGAGGGAAGGGTCCTTGGAAGAAGGTGTTGCATCTGGAGCCTATCCCCCATGTATACCACACACCACCAAGGGCGAATGGGGTTGACACCCTTGTTGCGGGACTATCTGTGAGATGAGGAGTCAATTGCTGAGGAAACCTACTGACCACGAGAGGTTTGGAATGTCCCCCCCATTAAAGGACTTGCTAGTTATGAGAGGTTTACAAGGAATGTGGCCTGAAACATCTGTGGCTGCTGGTCCCGTTGGAACTACTGCTTGTCCAACGTCCCGGTTAAAAGAATTGCTACCGTGTTTCCCCGAAAATAAGACAGGGTCTTATATTAATTTTTGCTCCAAAAAACGCACTAGGGCTTATTTTCAGGATATGTTTTACTTTTTTCATGGGCAACCATCTACATTTATTCAAATACAGTCCTGTCATCTTCTTCTGGCTGCTGCACAAGGGTGTAGTTTTACTTAACTGGGGCTTATTTTGGGGGTAGGGCTTATATTATGAGCATCCTGAAAAATCACACTAGGGCTTATTTTCAGGTTTGGTTTTATTTTCGGGCAAACAGGGCAGTTATGACAGGTTTACAAGGAATGTGACCTGAAACGTCTGTGAAACATTGCCCACATTCACTGCACTTGTACAGTGCAGTGAATGTGGCAAAGTTGATGTACATCCTGCCCCGTTGAAAGATATTAAACCTTTGGTTAATGTTAACCCGTCTCCTGTGATGACTCTCATTAAAGAGGAGAAACTGCTTAATCTAGAACAAGAATCCAATCACTGAAGGGCATCTCTGGGGTTTGCATTCTGGCACTACACAGAACCCCCAACCCCACCCATGCTTAACAGTCAAAAAAGGAGGGGGCAAAAAGACCACGTCCACTGAATTGCAGTGGTGGCAACCCTAAAGCAGACCGACATCCTTAGGGAACAGAAAAGCTTCAGTTTACAAGAGTTGAGCAAGGCTTCTAAGATGTCCAAAGTGGGTTTCATGAACTGGGCTGAAGAACATGCTCACTATCACATGCCCACACTCACCAAGTGCTCCCATCTTCCAGGATCTTGATGCTGCTGCTGCTGCAGGAACTCCTCGGCAAGAGTCACTGCCACGGAGCAGGTCTCCGG